TCCTCGGCGACCGCGCGGGCGTCTACCCCACCGCGCCCTGGGACGGCCGGCCCGGGACGACGATGGGCTGCGTCGTGGCCTACCTCCTCAAGGCCCTGGTCGAGTTCGTGCGCGCGGCCCCCGCCTTCGACGCCGCCGGCTTCCAGCGCGTCCAACTCCACGCCGCCTTCCTCCTCCGGGTCCTGCTCGCGGCGCCGGCGGACACGCCGCCGGGGCGCTGGGCCAGGGGGTGGGGGCCCGCCTTCAAGCGAACCCTCCACCGCCAGCTCAACGAGATCGCCGCCGGCGCGTACGAGCGGCACGAGCCTAAGGCCCCGCTGCCGGAGGCCGTCGTCGACGACCTCGTCCGCGCCGCAATCCAGGCCGCGGTTAAGGCGCTGCACTCGCAGGAGGGGGGCCCCGACGCGAGCCCGGGGAATTCCGCCCTCGAGACGGCATCCTCCACCACGGAGGAGGACCAAAGTGAGAACGACATTGGCCTGAGCCCGTAGCCGCTTACGCAATACGCCCCCCTCCCCTCATAGACTGCAGGAGAAAGGGGAGGAGGGCGGATCGATTGAAAGTCTGAGAAGGTGCTTTTTTTTTGTGTCTGTGTGTGTGTCGGGAGGGAAAGAAGTAAGACGTCAGATGGTTTATGTTTAAATGAAATTTCACCTAATATACTGAACTTTCGGTCTCGGACAACGGAGATGGATGGCGCTTAAAATCACCGATCGGGCTTCCTTCGAAAATTTCATCACAAAGAATTCTTTGCAAAAGAAAGTAAACAACAACAAAAAAAAGATAACATAGTACTTAGAATAGAATTTCTGTAGTTTTACCACCTTCGGGAATATAGCCAATCAATTATCTTTCTAGAGTGTGAATAGTTCGCCTCTTGGAAAGCATACTTCTTCGGCAAGTAGGTAGGGATCGTAGTAGCTTTATAGCACGTCGGGCAACGAGTTGGGGTCGCTTTTCGTCAACCTAAGCAATCACGGCCACCACGTACACACACCGAACCTCCCCCAATCGATCGGCCTTGTGGGCGTTAAAAGGTCGGTGCGATGTTTCCTTCCGCCCGGCGCCGGGCGGAACTTCCCTCGCTAAGACGGGCCTTCGGCGTGGCTATCCCGCCACCTTCGCGGCCCCCACGGGCAGGCTCGCTCGAGACCACCGTCCTGCCGAGCGGCCTGCGTATCGTCTCGCACGATTTGGACGGGCCCCAGTGCGTCCTCGGCATCTACGCCATGGCCAGCCTACCCAGCCCAGGCCACGGCTTCTTCAACCCAGGCCAAGGCCTCAGTCACGGCTTCTCCAGCACAGGCCAAGACCCCAACCGCGACTTCTTCAGCACAGGCCTAAACCCCAACCCAGGCTTCTTCAGCACAGGCCAAGGCCCCAGTCACGGCTTTTCCAGCACAGGCCAAGACCCCAGTCACGGCTTCTCCTCAGGCCCAAACCCCAACCCAGGCCTCTCCAGTACCGGCCCAGACCCCAGTCACGGCTTCTCCTCAGGCCCAAACCCCAGCCACGGCTTCTCCAGCACAGGCCAAGACCCCAATCACGGCTTCTCCTCAGGCCAAGGCCCCAGCCACAGCTTCACCAGTACCGGCCCAGACCCCAGTCACGGCTTCTCCAGCACAGGCCAAGGCCCCAGCCACAGCTTCACCAGTACCGGTCAAGACCCCAGTCACGGCTTCTCCTCAGGCCCAAACCCCAACCCAGGCTTCTCCAGCACAGGCCAAGACCCCAGTCACGGCTTCTCCTCAGGCCAAAGCCCCAGCCACGGCTTCTCCAGCACAGGCCCAAACCCCAGCCACAGCTTCACCACTACCGGGCCAGACCCCAACCCGGGCTTCTCCAGTACCGCTCCCAACCCCGGCCTGAGCTACGCCTTGCGGCTGGCCGTAGCCGCCGCGAGCCCGGGCTTGGCGGGCTGCCGCTGTCGCCACGGCGAGCCCCGCAGACGACGGCTCTATTGGACGGCCGAGGCGCTGCGGGGGGGTGGGGAGGCCGCCTTCGCACGCCTGGTCTATGGCCTCGACCCGCACCGTCTTCACGAACTGCAGGAGAAAGGAAATGGGGGGGGGGGAAGGGGGGATCCCGAACCCGGCCAAGGGCTGCGATCCAGGGCTACGGATGGGCTTGAGGCCGTGGCCTTCTTTAAGGAGCCGCTGGGCGCGCCGCGGGGGCTGCCGGACGGGGGGGCAATCACCGCGGCTGAGCTGCAGAGCCACGCCGCGGCCCTCCTCCGGCCCGGGCGCATCGTCCTCGCCGGGGTTAACATCCCGCACGCGGGGCTGGTGGGGATGGCGTGTGGGGTGCCCCTCTGGGCCGAAGAGGGCGGCGGCGGCGGTGGCGGCGGCCTCGATCTCGGCCACCACCGGGACGAGGTCGCGCAGTTCCACCCCGGGCGGCAGGTCATCCGCCACGAGACGGGACTGGCGCCGAACCCGAAGGTCATCGCGGCCGTCGGCGCCGTCGTCGAGGGCGGGGACGAGTCGCCCCCGGAGCGAGCCGCGGCGGTGCTTGTTGCCCGGGAGGTCTACGCCATCCGGATGGAGGGGGAGGGGGCCTACCACCGCTGGGAAAACCCCGACCGCGCGGACGGCCTGGAGGTCTTTTTCCGCTCCTACACAACGGCCGCCCTCATCGGCTACACCCTGTGCGCCGCGCCGTCGGAGGTGCCGGGGATGGTCCAGGCCGCGGTGGAATGCTTCCCGCAGGCGGTTGACCCGAAAACGCTGGAGGCCGCCAAGCGACGAGCCGTGCTGCGCTTCAAGCGCGATGAACTCAGCACGGTTTGGGATTACTGTAATTTCATCGCTACCTCCTTATTGAAACCGGAGGAGCGGATTCAGGCGATTGAGAACATCACCCTGGCCGAAGTAAGAAGGGTGCTTGCGGAGTTGACCTCACACAAGCCCTCAAGCTTCGTGATGGGTGACACCTTTTCGTTCCCGAAGAACCTCGTGCTCAACCCAGTCGGGCGATACAAATAGTATTAGGATTGTGTCACCCGAAATGGTTGTCAAATTGAGCTCTTTATTCGAGGGTTTCCTGTTCTTCTTACTTTTTCTCACTTTTCCCTTCTTTCTCCCCCAAAGTGGGGGAGGGGAATGGGATTTCCTTGTAGGTCTTTTGACCTCCCCCCCTCCCCCGAAAGGTACAGTGTAAACAAAGGAAAAGAGTAGAAACCCTTTGAATGTAGTTCTTTTTTTTATCACCCAGGATGTGTACTTGTTTTTCTACAATAAGGCACTCCAGGGTTCTATTACTTTCCTTTAGGGAATGGGGAAACCCTTATAGTTGATTGAAAGGAAAACAGGAAAGCGTGAAATATGTCAAAATTGAATGTAAGGTTGGCCTCCCACGCATCCGAGTAGAATAGGAAACTCACGAAAGGGAAAATTTTATCTCCCCACTTCTGAAAATTAGGAAAGGTATCAAAAAAAAACGTAAGTATGGCGTGCTTTTAATGCGTGGAGAAGTAGAAAGAAAAAGCGCAAAGCTCACTTATTATATAGATTGATAATTTCTCGCTTCACTGTTTTTTTCTCTCAAGAGTTTAGTTTCCTCTACAGGAAGCTCCATAGGGGGGAGGGGAAAACCTGTGCGTTTTAGTAATCACAAAGTTGCTTTTGGAGGGAAAAGGGTCCGATGTGTTGCTTTCGAGAGTGCGGCGCCTCCAAAGTGAGAGCCGCAATGAGAAATTTACCATCGCACACCTCAGTCTCCTTTATTAAAAGATCAGTTTATCGCTTACCCACAGCTCTTTCTGCGTCCTCCCGGACGTCCCTAACCTCCTCCGCGTTCTCTTTATCCTTCGCCAGCAGACAATTAGGGAGTGAGGGGGGTCATTTTTCGGCCGTTAGTCGTCAGGAATTGCACTTTCGACGCGACCATCTGCTGCTCCCACTGCTCGAAGCAAAGCGCTCCCGGCTGAGAGATCTGCAGGCGCACAAGACGGCACTCGATCAAACGGCGCGGCGCTATGCCGATCGTTTCTTTTTCTCCAGTTTTGCGATGTTAATTGTGCAATTCGCGGTGCTTTTCGATTGGACGTATATTCACTTTGATTGGAACTTTGTCGAGCCGATTACCTATTTGCTAGGCTACTGCGAAACTTGGATCGCCTTGGCGTGGTATGGCAACATGCACCGCGAGTATGAACAGGATAGTCTACGCGAGATTATCGAACGGAAACAACAAAATAAGCTGTACCTTCGGCATGCGTTGGACTTGTCGGAACTCAATCGATTAAAGGAAGAGGTGGAAGTCCTTGAAATGTTGGTGCGGGTCCATGAGGCGACGGATTAAAGTGGTGAGTGCATAGAAATCACCAGCCTATGAGTATGCAATGTATAGGTAAGAATGGATGGAACCCAATATATTTAGATGGTTGCTTATTTACTGATGTCATCTTCATGGTGTGCACTTTGTTATACATATCTATGTGCACTAATAGAAATTGAAGAACTATTCAAAACTACTATTTAAAAACAAAATAAACTCCGAATCCTTAGATCTGCAGGAGTCAGATACTCTTTCTCCTCTTCCCCCAGTGTCCTGACAACTTCTCTGTCTTTATATTTCTTGGTATATCTATCTTTCTTTTTTGCTTTCAAAGCCTAAATTAGATAAATAGCATAACAGTTTTTTCTTGACGATAAACTAGAAAAAAAAGTGGAGGAGGTCCTCATTCTGAGACCCCTTGCTCAATCTTTAATCTCTCTTTGCGTATATGAATATGAACGCAGAGGAGTACTGGAGGCTCCGCGTGCAGGAAACCGAAGGCGAGTACGCGCAGCTCATCCAATCCCAGCGCGATGAAATCGAGTCCTTACAGCGCCGCTGTAATGAACTTCTGCACGAGCGCTGCTTAATGAAAGCCCAGACCGCGATGGAAGTGCGAAATTTCGTGGTGAACTTCCAAGGTGAGCAAAGAGGATCGCTTTCTGCGGTGGATGCCATCCCAACGAACGTGTTATTAAACTTTTTACATCGCTATAGCAATGGCTTAGTGCCATCCCCGGTGAACATGCGAAAGCGAAATCGCAGCACCGATGTCTCGTCGATCTCGCAAAAACGTCTTCATCAGCGCTTGATGGCGCGAAAACGATTACGTGAGGTCAACGAAACGGAAGATAACGTGCAGTTTAATAGGGTCGAAAATGAATCCGGAGCGAAGCTGAGCGCGATGCGCTCGTTTGCGGAAGGGTTTAAAGGCAATGGTGGTAGTTTATTAGGATTGAACAATTGTGAAGTAGGCGAACACAACGGGGGGAACGTGGTGCTAGCGCCTTCCAAGTTTGGCATCTCTTCCACATCCCCAAACTAAGAAAAATAATGATGTCGAGGATTAAAGTAATGTTTATCTTTCGTTTGAAAGAAAGAAAGGGCGTTTACATTTTTTCGGTTTGTTTTGCTTCTTTATTCGGACGGTAAACTTTACCTTAAAATATATTTTACTTTCACTTTTTTCTATTTACGTTCATTATTGTTATTTTCTTTTTTGCTGATATAAAGTTACAATAATTTGATATTGCTTAATAACAGAACTTACACGAAACGAAATCTTGGCTACAACAAAAAAAAACCTTTAGAATAGTTTATACCCAGTGTCAGTGTGTAATTTTTTAATATTTTACTCCCTATGTTTTTTCTCCTCGTCTAACACTTTTTCCCATTGAGTGTATATTTATATATATATATAACAAAACATCTGCTCAATCTACTATCTTCATCTCTCCTTTTCCGTATTAGACCTTCTTTCATAGGGTTTAATAGATTTTTAATCTCGGGGATGTCCGGAAGTTCGGATCGTCACCCGGGCCGGGCGTTAAAAGCGGGCACTTCACAAGCCGTTCGTGAAGGAGAGGCGCCTTCCTCGTCCTCGACGACGCTCGCGGCCATTTTGGACTGCGCCGTCGGGCAAATCCTCCGCCACCTTTCGACGACCCTCCGCCCCTTTGACGTGGCGGACGGGATCGCGCGGGCGATGCTCGACCTGCTCGACCCCCCCTCCCTGTGGGCGGTGGTCCTTTCGCGAAACCACGCGGGGCTGTGCGGGCGGGTGGGCTGCGCGGCGCCCCCACGCGGCCTCCCAAACCGCCCCGCCAACGCCGGGGATTCGACCGAGACGAGGGGAAAGGACCGAAGGGGAGGGAACCATCCACCCCCTGAGGGAGGTGATCCTCCCTGTGAACATCAGGCCAATTCCTGTTACAGCCGTAATCCTCAGGATCAGGATGACGATGATGAGCTCGCCGTGGAGGGGGATTTGCCCTCCGCCGACGACGAGGAGAGGGATTTCTACACCGACACATCGTTTCGCCTCGCACGGCGGTTGCACCGCCGGCTCAGACGTCTCCGCGAAAAAAACAACCTCGATGGGGGGAATAATGATAAAAATCCGGGGGAGTCTCACGCGGGAGGACTTTCTCGAACTCCCCACGCCGCGCGAGGGGGGGGGTTGATCGGCCTTCCCGCGGTGGATCGCTTTTGCAGCGTCGAATGCGCGGATTTTCACGAATCAACGCTCCGCGCGGGGGTAGGAGAGGGAGGGATTTCCCGCCATCGCGGTCCCCACCTCGCGAACGTCCTTCGCACCCTCTACCCGAATCTTCCCCACGAGGTGGGGGAACGACTCGAGAAGATGGAAACCCCAGTGGTTTCTTCTGCTTCCACGCACGTTCTGTCCGATATTGTTGTGGAGGCGAATCATTCGAGTTTGGATAATCAAAAAAAGGAGGTGAATTGGGCCGATGAGGCGCTCGACCGGATGCAGACGGGGAACCCTCGACGGCTGTGGGAAGGCGGCGCGGCGGTGCGGCTTTTCCGCCCTCTCGACGGAGAGGAAGCGGACGGGGTAGGGTCGATTGACCTTTTGCAAGCCTCGACCTTATCCGGGGCACTTCTTTTGCACGATTTTTTCTTCACAATCAGCACCCCGGCGACGAAGCGGGGGCTGCTCCACCTCTACGTCAACCGCCGCGCGCGGATTTCGCGGCGGTTCGCGCGCGTCGACGAAACTCACCGCGGCCGCGGCTTTTCGCGTCTGTTCGAGCCGCTTTTTCGCGAATTGGACGCGCGAGCGGGCGACGGCTCCGCGTTTTCGTCCTTTTCTTTGAATAAGTCGCCAAACCCGGCGGCCGCGCGGGATCGCCGGGGGCTTTTCACCGCTCGGCTCCTCACGGCGGACGTCGCGGCGACCCTCGCGCGGCTGCTCGGGATGGACGTCGGTGTGATTTCGGGCCCCGCGTGGGGCGCGCTCTGGCGGCGGGAGGATTTCCTCCGAAGTTTAACTTTCCCCGCGAGAATTCCCGCGGTGTTTTTATCACCTTCTTCGTCGTCCGCGGGGGTGGGGCTCGCGCTGGGAATGTTCCTCGCGGGGGTTTTGCTTTGCGAGGAAGCGGCGCCGTGGGTGGCCCTCGCCGAGTCCAACGAGGAGCTCGACGAGCTCCTCAACGTGCTCGGAATGACCGACGAGGACTTCCGCTTCGCCCTCCGCGCGCTGTTCTTTGATCTCGAGGATTAGGCCTTGAAAAGGGAGGAAAAAAATAGGTCGAACAATATTAAAGAAATGGAAAAGGGAGGGGAGTGCCGCTGCTACGTTCAAACGGTTAAAAAGGGGGCTTTGAACTCTGTTAATTTTGAAAAACGAGCAAAAAAACACGAATAATGAAATAAGATGCAGGTTAGAACCTTCCTTAGTTGTTGTTTCTGGCGCTCATATACATATACATATGTGTGTATTCTGATGGGGTTTTTTTAATCCTATCTTGTTTATTTTATTTCATAGATTTCATCTGCACATCTTTTATTTCTTAGGGCTTCTCGGATTTGTAATAAGTAAAACTAGTGCACACTAATTGCTTGAACTAGGTACATTGCTTTTTAGTTTTTAGTTTCTTTCGGTTTTCTGTTTCTGTTTATTCAGAGCTGCTTATTTGGGTTTCCTGTATTTGTGCAGGTAACTTTGGCGCTGATTAATTCGCATTACGTCGGGACGAAACGTAACTGACGTGAAGAGTCTCAGGTCGCATCATTATCAACCTTTACGTGTTTTCACACTTTGCAAGTGTCCGTGCTAGGAATCTATCAATCTATCTATATATCTATATATATAGATATCGATACCGATAGATATAGGTTGATATAGATATCTATTCACTATTGGGTGAATTCAATCGACGGGGGAATGTTCCACAACAGCTTCCAATCCGGATTTCTATCCATTCTCTACAGCATCGGCTCGCGGCCTCTGCAAATATGGGATACCAACGTGCAGAACGGCCACGTCAAGCGCATCACCGATGAGGACATCCAAAGCAGCGTTCTTGAGCTGATGGGGAGCAATGTCAGCACCTGCTATATCACCTGCCCTTCCGACGCCAAACAGACCCTCGGCATCAAACTCCCATTTCTGGTGATGATTATCAAAAACATGAAGAAATACTTCTCCTTTGAGGTGACCATTCTGGACGACAAGAACATCCGCCGCCGGTTTCGCGCGAGCAATTACCAAAGCGCGACGAAAGTCAAGCCCTTCATCTGCACGATGCCGATGCGGCTGGATGAGGGGTGGAATCAAATCCAGTTCAACCTCGCGGACTTCACCCGGCGGGCCTACGGGACGAACTACGTGGAGACGCTGCACGTCCAAGTCCACGCGAATTGCCGGATCCGCCGGCTTTACTTCAGCGATCGCCTCTACGCCGAGGAGGAGCTCCCGCCGGAGTTTAAACTTTTCCTCCCGGTGATGTCCGCGACGGCCGGGGGGGGGCCGCCGCCGCCGAGGTCGACCCCGAGGAGGAGCGAAAAGCCCCGGCGAAGGAGCCCGCGGGGCTCGCCTACAACAATACGAATCCGGCGTCGACAATGGGGGCCGCCGCCCCCCCGCCATCCGCCGCCGCGGAGTAGGATTGCCCCTTCGATATCCATTTATATAAATAAATATATCGAAAGCGAAGGAGAAAAAGAAGTCGGAATCCGATGGGAAAAGGAAAAAAAAAATAAAAAGGGGAAAAAAATCAAGAAAGAACCCCGAACCCCTTCCTCCGCCCTTTTAGGTTGTGGATGGATCTTTGGGAAGTGCTCTTGTATCTCGGAAAATAGAATAAATAAATAAAAAGTGATGAACGATTCATCCTGGGATCAAAGGATGGAAAAGAGAGATAGTGCCGTCGATCATCATCAATTTCCATCAATGATGCGTTTTTCCAATCCCCTTCAATAGTGTATATGGGGTTATTATTTCCCTCATTTTTTTTTCCTTTTTAGCTACAATTTATACTTTTGTATGTTTAGTTTTTGATCTACGATGTATGTTTACACTTTCACCTCGCTATGATGTTATTTTTACCCCTCCCTTTCCCTCCGACAGAACGCGAAAATAACAAAAAAAAACCGTTTGTTAATCACTACCTTCTGAAAACTAACGCACAATAAATTGGCAATTTAGCTTCCACAATTATCAAGAATCCTAACAATTAAAAGCGATTTGTTCTTTATTGGTGTGAATTTTTTTTTTTGTGGTGGTGGTGGTGGTGCATTTGCCTCTCCTTCGAGCTCTTCCTATTTCGATAGAAATCCTGCAGAGGTTGAGGAGTGGTGAAGCGCTTGAGCTCGGTTATTATAACATAAATATATATATATATATATATATATAAACAGCTCTTGCTTATATGGAGGCGTAAAAAAGGGGAAATTGCATTATTGTATAGCGTGAAAAACTCCTTGATGTTAGAAATGAAAATAGTTAAAACCACAGATCCTAAGAGCAATTCATGCTTTTTGATGATGAAGATGAAAAAAAAAAAACATAACTGAACCCCTTGTTTCTCTCTGTATGATTTCTCATGAAGATGATTTACAGAGAGCAAGCTAGAAAATGAACAGGGGATCCCATGCCTGGACTCTATTGTATATGTATATATATTCGCTGTTTTTCTTGATTTGTTTATTGAGTTGATTTAAGCCCAAGAACACCCCCCCCCCCTGTGAAAATAGATATCTCTTTTTCTCTATCTATATATATTTAGAACCTTCATGAAGCGCATTCCGCACCCCAGCGGGACGCCGGTTCTCTTCGACGCGAAGTGGCATCAGTACAAACTCGGCGAGACGGCCCTCCGCTCCGTCTCGCGGCTGCTCGACCGCCACTTTCCCTTCGACGAGGCCCGCGTTCTCGCGTTGGTGAGCCGGAAGACGGGCGCGCCGGTCGAGGTCGTCAAGCGCGGCTGGGCCCAGCAGGCCGTGCTGGGGAAGAACATCCACGAGTTCATCGAGTGCCGCCTGACCGGCCGCCCCCCGCCCATCTGGGCCGCCGGCCTCCCCCGGGCCGCGGGCGAACCCCCCGAAACCCCCCCCAAAGCCGATAAAAACGATGAAACGGACGAAAAAAGTGAAAAAATGGACGAAAAGACGGCCGCCGCCCTCGGGGGGATCCACGGGGAGGAGGGGCTGTACCTTCCCGCCGTGGAGGCCGCCGTCGCGCGGGTGGTGGGCCGCTACGACGTCCTCGCGGTGGAGCAGGTCGTGGCCTCGCCGGAGTGGGGCCTCGCCGGGACGATCGACCTTCTCGCGCGCGATAAACAAACCGGGGGGCTGCTGCTCGCGGATTGGAAGACGACGGGGGGCGTGCGGTCGAGTTTCCGCTTCGGCAGCTTCGAGGGCCCCGGCGCCGGGTGTCTTCGCCACCTGCCGAACGCGAAGTCCTACCGCTACGCCATGCAGCTCCTTCTCTACGGCGCGATCCTCAAACAACAGCGCTACGTCGAGTCGGGCTTCTTCGACGCGGCCCTGGCGAAAAGCGCGCGGCGGACATCCCCCGCAGCCCCGCCGGTTTCGCTGGCGGCCCTGCGGGAGGCGATCGCGGGGCCGGTGGAGTACGGCCTCGTGCAGTTCGCCAAGGACGACGAGGGGGGGGTCGTCGCGGAGTTTAAGCGGGTCGAGGAGGCGACGGTCCTGCCGCCGGACGACCACGAAATGAGCTTTTCACAGTTGATGCAGAAGGTCATGTTGGCGTTGTAGCCATCACGTGATTAATTGATATCCATATCCATACATATATATATATATATATATATGGATATAGATATTTATATTCTTATAGATAACAAAGAAAATGGGGGTCTGAGGCCGCCTATTGATAGATTTTTTTTCACCTGATTCAGAGCTAGATCGAGGGGTAAACCCATCGCGTAATCGAACGAAGTGTTGCGGTGGGTGGAAATGCCGAGCGGATCGACCATCGTCCGCGCCGCATTCGATGGGGCGAATAAATGGCCCCTTCCTAACCCATACCGCTCCGTGTTTGCCTAGTCACGAATGGACTACATGTTATTTCCACTAATCCATCGATTAAACCCAAACTTCACGACCTTCCAAGGGGAGGGGAAACCCTAGATGGGATACTCTCGCCGTTTGGGGGTAAAGATAGTACTAATAACCATAAAACCAGCAAGGATATGCCTAATCGAATATCTTCTTTTCCCTCTTTGGATGTTGATTGTTCAGCTTAATCTCAGACACCAGTCGTTTCTTTTATAAACAAAGCGATATTAAAAAATATCGAACGCTGGTACAGAGAATAGGGTAAGGTTTAAGCCTAGAAACGCTGTGTTAATAGTTGTGCAAACGTTTTTATATACAAAAAAAAAAGGAGAAACCCTGTCGTATGGTTTTACAGCTCGCGATCTTTTCATCACTATACGCGTCCAAAACAGCATTGCCAAGCTTATCAATCGACTTTCACGAGCCCAACTCGCTGTTTTCGGATTGTTATTAGTAGTAGTAGTAGTAGTATTCGATACTTTCCACCATTCACCCCATCCCGCGCGCGATCTAAAATCTCGATCTGTACACAATACTAAAGCCAAAAAGCTGGATTTAAACCGCAAGAAGGCGCACCCGGTTATCCTGCAGGGGAAGGGGGGTTTTATGCGAGCTCGGACGACGGCCCGCGAGACGAACAACAGCCGAACCGACGCCCAAGGCCGGCGACGCGATGGGAAATTCGAACTCGCGCGGGGCCGGCCCCGCCAAAGACGCGGGGCCGCGCGCGGCGGACCGGCCGTGGGGGCGCCCCGCGGCCCCATCGACCCCCCCGCGGGCCTTTGAGGCCCCGCCGACCCCCCCCGACCCCGCGAGGGGCCGGGGGCGGGCCTCGA